AATCTTTTAATGCTTCATTATACTTTCCTAACTTTTGATAAGTTTCTCCTCGTAGTCTTAATGCAAGAGTATTATTTGGTTCTAGTCCCAATAAATTATTAAAATCTTTTAATGCTTCATTATACTTTCCTAACTTTTGATAAGTTTCTCCTCGTAACCTTAATTCAAAAGTACTATTTGGTTCTTTTTCTAATAATTCATTAAAATACATTAATGCTTTATCTTATTTTATTACTTTTGACAAGTTTCTCCTTTGACTAGTGAAATAAGGTTGGAAATTTTCTATTTGTTTACACAATCTATAATATAATTTTATTTTATATAAAAGTTTTTTTTTGTTCCTTTTATCTTTATGATTGCCAAAATTATAATTTTTGATGTTAATTTTTTTATTCAAAATCGTCGTATAAAAGGATTTCGGATTTCATTTCCATCTGTTACACGATGAGTACTTTTATCAGGCGACATTGTAAAAGTGATCAACTTTTATCTCAAAATGGTATAGATATTCAGTAACTACATTCAATTTTATGGATTAATGAAGTATTATATTTAATCACCATATTACGAAAATATTATAAAAAATTTTAAAAGTATGTTATAGATAGATTATCAATTTATTTTTTTAAAAAAAAATAGTGTCAGAGAGTATATACCCGAAATATTTGCCAAAAACTTTTGGGTTAGTTTCCACTTTGTATTCTATAATTTATATCTAATTCGCAATTACTTTAATCATTAAATTATTTATGCATAAATTATATATATATCAGAGTAAAGAAGAAGCTAGTTTTGAAACTCTTCGCACTCGTTTGAACTTACATGTGAAGTTTAATCTATATTCCATGAAAGGTTTATTAAATTCCATTATATAGTTGCTCTAAATTTTAATTTTAAATGATCTTTTATTTTGTATTTCTTAATATTACAAATTTTTTTAACAAAAATAAAAATATTATTATTATTTTTTTTAACAAAATAAAAATATTATTATCATAAAATATTTCAATAGGAAAAGATGAGATTGAGTAATTTGATCTTATTAATTATTTACATACACATTTATAAAATATATTTTTTTAATAAATTTAATATAGAATATAATTATATGATGAATATAAAGGACATTACATAATGCTTTTGAGACAATATTAAAATCGGAAGAAACTGCAATAAGATAAAAAAAGAGTTAAGGTATTTTTTTATTTTTTATTTTTATTTTATTTTATTTTATTTTATTATTTTTATTTTTTTTTTATTTTTTATTTACATTTTTTTTTTATTTTTTATTTTATTTTATTTTATTTTATTTTATTTTATTTTATTTTTTTATTTTTTTTTATTTTATTTTCATTATTTTTATTTTTTTATTTTTTATTTTTTATTTTTTCAAACTCATTCATACAAAAAAAAATCCTCACACAAATATGTATTTTGTAATTGCCAAAAAATATAAAATGACAAGTAATTGTAAAAAGAAGTATCAGAGATAAGCAGACAACTCTTATGGCTCAAAAGGTCAAATAAAATAAGTAAATATTAGATTGAATCTTATAAATTATTTATTAAATAATTATTATAAAACATTTGTTATAAAATATTTAGGCAAAAGAAAAGTATGTTCAGATTACAGGAATATTACAAAAAGGAATAGTGAATTGGGAAAGAATTAAAAATATTTTATTTATAAATATTTTATTTAGTATCATATAAATTTTATTATTTAAATTTTTTATTATTTATTTTATTTATTTTATTTTTATTTGTTATTTTTATTTTATTATTTATATTCTATTATTTATATTTTATTAACTTAATTTAAAATTAGAGAAAACTCAAATTTCTAGGTAAAAAATAATCGTTTTTTATCACATACATTTATTATAAAAATAACGTTGAATAAATCCGGAATATATGATTAAAGATGCAGCGGATACCCTTTAAAAATGGAATTATGATTGGAAAGGCATATATTTATTGTCATATTTGTTTATAGTTGGATTCATTTTTATATTAATTTACTATTTGATTATTAAGAGGTTCCAATATTTTGAAGAAGTGCGTATCGATTTTTTAAAAGAGATTTTTATGGAATTATGTGAATCTATATCTATTATACGCGTAGCTGATGATGTGGTAACAAATCTTTTACGCATTTAATAAATTAAATCTTACGTGTGCATTTGATTAAATGAATTTATTTAATTTTATATAAATGTTTAGTCTTGTGAACTAATTCGTGTTTCATTGGAGAACTGTAATGTAGAAAAGATATTCAATATTCATCAAAGACCAGATATTCTAGGCACACTTTATTTATATATTATTTATATTTACTTTACTTGTATCCACACAAATATATCATTGTAATAATGACATTATTCTATAATTATATTTAAATCCACCGGTTTATGTGAATTTTTATGGGACCATCAGAAAATGGAGTGAAATATAATTGATCGAAATGATGAAATAACAGCGGCAACGAAAATTTTAGAAAATGCACATCATATTTCATTTCGAAATTATTATCATAAACATTATCAAAATCTACAATATCAAGATCCACAATTAATGCAACAACCAATTCATCAGCCATCAGTGGATAATAGCTATAATAATAAAAATAATAGAACAAAAGGAGGTGACGAAGTATTATTTTATCATACCAAAATATCGTGAAAAGCTTCTTTATATGTTAATACATTTGATTCAACGACTTCTAATATGATGTTGATGATTAAAAATGATGCACTTCCTAAAACTCATGATGAAGAAATTGAAGAACCTCTTGATCCAAGAAATCCTCAATTACTTTCAATCGGTTCGAATGTTTAAAAGTACAAACGACAACAACAGAAAAAGGCAATATTGTAGAAAAAGTTTGGGAAAATATGAAGAAAATGGATGAAATTAATAATGAATAACAACAACAACGGGATGACATTACTAATGATGAATGATAATATTACAAATAACTATAACAATAATAAATAAGACTTTATCATCTCCTCCTCTCAGTCATGATGACACGTCAAAAATGACAAAGAATATCATAAAAATAACTGATAAGCTTCAACTAGCGATGCATAATAACGACCTTATCAAATACTATTTCTACTTCTGCATTATCATTATCGCAAAACAATTTAAAACTCGACAACAACAATTTGTATCGAATCTTGGAGATTTAAAAAGTTAAATATCTTCAGATTATCAATTTCATCACAACAACAACAACAGATTAAAAGATAACCTTTCATCGAAACCACGATCAACAACTCCTACTATTGCGAATTTTCAAGGTCCCGGGTCACCAAGTAATTCAAGTCAGCAATTATCAACGGCAATTATCACTATAGCAGCAACAACAATTATCACAACAGCAACGACAGCAGCAACAACAGCAACAGCAGTCATTCTTGCGGCAATAATCACCTCCTCAATCTCAATATAATACTCTATCAGTTGTTAATACTGGACCACAACCACAACGACGATTCATCATCTAATCATCTTTATGAACCACATCCAATCATATTAAAAATAATAGTATTATAAGATCAAATACATTCAAGACATCGTCATCAACAAAGTTCACAATTCATTTTGCATTCAACTTGACATTCAGGTCGAGTTAAACAAGATTATTTAGCATTTATGGCTAATGGCGGAAGATTGCCTCAATAATCTTAAGAGTTAATCAATTTTCTCAAGCTATAATAATGATGATGATAATAATAGTAGTAAATTTATATTCTATGCTTTTTTAATGCATTAATGCTTTAAAAAGTTTAAAAGTCAATGCATGACATGACACTCAATACACGACGGACGGAGTGGAGTTTTCTAGATTTCCAAACGAGAAATTTACGTCACGCAAAAATAATATAAATACTGAATTCGAAACAATTTTGTTTTACCATTCATTTTGAATAATTTCGTTTATCTAGTTAATCTAGTTTATTTATCTTAATTATCGAAGAAGTTCAAATAAATCTAAAAATGGTTCGTTAAACTAATAATAATAACAATTTCAAAATACAACAGCATCATCAATAATATAATGAAAAGAATAACTTTGAATAATAATAATTCAGTTCACAATAATCATCATCACCATCAAAAAAAAAATAAAATATCGGAATGTTTATTTTTATAAAATCGAAAGTACCATTTATCTCAACCAATATCACGGTTTTTGGAATTTGGAATTGGTGCCATTTTACCTTTTGCCAAATTTTTACCATTAAAAGATTATTAATTTAAATCAAATAGCCGAACTTAAGAACATTTGTGGGTCTTATTGGGCAGGTTAGTATTTTAGACAACTTGCCTGTGAACGTAAACTATAAACTATAAATATAAATGTAATAAGTGCTAACAATAATCTTCTCGAGATGATAATCAAGGCCGTATGTGAAATTATTATGTATATTGTTTAATACCAAATGGAATTATTTTATTTTATAATAAGGATTTTTATTAATTACTGTATTTTACCTTAAAATCTTATTTTTTTAATTTTTTTTTATAATAAATTATTTCCAAATAAATATACAATTATGATTTTATTAAAATCAATTCAAAATTATCATGTTATTATGATAAAACGAAATAGAATGATTTTTAGTATAATGTACGCCATTCGGATCTGGTATCAATAATTTTATCATCAAGAACTAATCCACATTCTCAAACCATATTTCACTTGTAAATTCTCAATAAGTTTGGGATTAGAAATATTGCTTCATTATATAAATTATCCTAAGATGATGATTATGATGATCTTAAATATTTAAATTATTTGGATTCATTTTTGCTTATTATTTATTATTTCAATTTTATACTTTAGACATCTATAAACTTAACAAACATAGTATTGTAATTATCAATGATTGTCTTCCATTACTTGGTGAATATACAAATGAGATAAATGTGTCTTTTGAGTTAGAAATATATTTTTATTATATAAAAAGACAGTACAAATTAAATTTACTAATGCAATAAAATGAAAAACTAATTTATGTCAATTATTTGTTAAAAAAATTTAAATAAATCTAAACACAAGGATTCAAAAAAAAATATGGTTAACATAATATCTTGTATAAAATTATTTTATATGAAAGAAATAAATTTTAGAACTATTTAAGCAACACCGAAAAAAAATCAAATCAAATGAAAAAAAATTAATTTTTTAATAATTAATATTTTTAAAATAACAAATGGTCAACGTTCTGAGATACTTCATCAGGAAATTTAATTAGGCGTCGATTTACGGAATATCACATGACCTCCGGAAATTTCCGCCTGAAAAATTTGA